GCGCGGGGGTCCCGGAGCCGCCCCGCGCGCGGCTGCTGCGCAGGCACCTGCACAAGGGCGGGCGCGGCGCGGCCGGCCGGCCTGCATTCCCTGCGCCAGGTGGGAGCAGGTTCCCACCTGGAAATCCGGGGGGGTCCTGCAAGCAGGGGGCTGTGGGAAAGCCAACCTCTGATCCTGCTGTTTTCAGCCGGCCAGGATTTCATCATAAAAAGCATCTGAACATGAGCACGGAAACTCCAGTTTCTGCAAGTGCAGGCTAAATCCCTTCACTTCCTCGAGCTGCTGTAGCAGCGATCGGGGTTAAGTCTCTGCTTTAATCATGCTTGAACCCAACAGTTCTGCTTTTGTCACAGGGACTTGGTGCAAGTTACGGCCCCAGTGCAATGAGCGTGGGTCTGGACCCACATTTCACGGAAACTCAAGTTCAATCATGCAATTAAGACACTATTTCACTGCAAAAGCACAGAAGACCAAAACTGGAAAAAAAAAAAAAAACTTTTTAGGAGTATTACATATTGCTCCTACTTTGTTTAAAATAAAAGTGCCTGAATATGCTCACAATGAAATTAAATGACGGTGAAGATGCCAGTTTATTTTTCACTGTCCTTTTGAAGGGGAGGAGAAAGGGCAAAGAGTTAAAATGAACATCTTTCACTAGAAAGATGTTTCCGAAAGTTTGGCTTCCAGAGGATTCCTCCAGCTGGAAATGCAAAAGGATGGTGCATTTTTGAACATGCTAGAACTGTGCTAGACTTTATTCCTGGTCTTTTGCCTTTCGGGGAGGCTTTTGAACCACCGTGGAGGTACGTGCTGCCTCACCAGCAGTTCCTTCCCCTGGGGTCAGTGGTGGTGCCCTAGGAGAAGAGCTGCTCCACCACTGCAGAGAGTTGTTATGGGTTTTGTCTGTAATAAATCTGCTAAAAAAAGTAAGACCTGGAATACTGACAAAAATGTGGCTATCTTAAGTTTCTAGTAAACTTACTTCTTAAAAGATGTCTTTTTTTCCAAAGCCTATTTTTTTGGAATGATTTAATACCACCAGCGTGGTGCATATTCCATGTTAACATTGTGAACGTTACTGAAAGTATCTGTAAGAATTCTGTCTGAAACCTAATGGAAAATACTTTTAAAGGTTTCAAATTGAAGGCTGAGTCAAACTTACATTCACAGCGCACACACACAACATCCCAGCTTCTCAAAGTAAATACACAGCATTACCTCAACTATGCTTTGTATTCGACCTAGGAAACATTACCAACCATAAAATATTAATGCTTGTGCTTAGCGGGAAACCAAAACGATATATTGCAAATCTCATAATATCACACAACTGCTAAAGATCCTTCAACCTAAAATGTAGTATCCTGCACCTATCCACCTATCATTAGGTGAGTTCTGGGACAATTCTTCCATCCTGTGTCTCCAACTGTACTTTACAGGAGCTGAATACTGCATACAGTAATGCTCTTAAGAAACTAGTCTAAATCCTCTACCATGCAAACCACGTAGATATCATAAAATCTCTATGAATAATTAGGCATGCCGGTCCATTAATAGACGAGGTGAAGACTTCAGGTATGACAAAGATAGGATTGCAACAGCCTGCAGCAGGATCAGGGTCATCTGCTCTATTTTAAACTATTTACTTTGTCAATCCCACGACTTCTCAGATACACCTTTCTTGACTTATACTCAGTGACTCCGAATGGTGTTTGGAAACATGTCAGAGCAGAGGGCTGGAAAGGTGCCTCAGCTTCCTTGTGGATGGCAGCAGTGAGTGATTATGCACAACATGAAGCCTGAAACTCATACTGATTTTTGCTGCATTGTCCTCTACCCGACAGTAGAAAGTTAGGGCTAAACTTTGTTTCTATTTGTATGACCCAAAGCTAGCCAATAATAGTATTTTTAGAGATTTGCAAAGTAGCTAAGTAATCTTAAAAATATGTCTAATCAGCTGTTGCATCTCTTCCTTTTTCAGTACATTAGGTAATCCACTGAAAGATTTTATTTCTATGTAATATCACAGAAAACATCCCCCTGGTCAAGATATTTAGTAAATTTAGAGCTCTTGAGATTTCTTGGGGAATTAACTTAGGATCTAGACTGGTTTTATTTAGTTAATTCTGTCAGCACCAGTGTGTAGATAGGGGGAAACATTGAATAAAATGCTGATGGCCAAGTTAATTAAGAAATCAGTACAGCTTTCTTTTTTTCCAGGCAAGTTGCTTTATCAAGCTGAAGAAAAGTAATGCACCCTTATCTGATCAGATACAGAGACATTTCCTGCAATATCAAGAGCAATGTGGGAAAAATAAGCTAAAGAAAACTTGTAGAATGCCCTTCCAAATAGGAAAAATGTCACTGGGAAGGCTGCTACAGAAAATGAGCATCTTAGCCCAGTGATTCACCTGGGGCTCAGCTTGAAACTGAAGTCTGAGAGAAGAAAATAGAGGGTTCTCTTCCAAGAGGTCTCTGTTTATCCTCTGTAGGCATGCAGCTTTCTATAAAAATGTCTAAAGATGTCATACAGGTTTCTATAAAATGCTCCAAGGTTGCCAGATACCATTTTGTATGTTGAATTATTTGATGGCTGAATAGCAGATATAAAATGCACAAAAATCTAAGTAGCACTTGAGTTGCTTTCTTGCCAAATGCAATTATTTCTGTTGACACAGTGTTGTAGAGGTGCTTTTTTATTTTTTATTTTTTATTTTTTATTTTTTATTTTTTATTTTTTATTTTTTATTTTTTATTTTTTATTTTTTATTTTTTATTTTTTTATTTTTTTCACCCAGAAGTGAGTATTTTTCCATTTTTTTTTCAGGAAAGCTAACAGTGTTCTAGTTACTCACAGTGAAAATATAACTGTCTAACAGGTTTTGTAAACGGTTGCTCAATACATTAGAGCTGTAAACAAGTAATATAAGCAAAAAAAGAAGGTCAAACTTCTCTGCCAAATAAACTTCCCATGCAGGATCGGGGTTAAAGCAGAAGAACTGCAGAGAAAAACAGATCTGTTTGTTTGTATAGACTTAAAAATCTTGTTAAATAGCATGTAAACCATCAACATAGACACAAACATTTGTTTGCTGCAATGTGTTCAAGTTATCTGTACAGTTCCTTTACATCCTTTACAAGCTGAGGAGTAGCAGGGTGGCAGGCAGACATCCTGCCCACACACCACCCAAAGCAGGGAAATCTCTCATGAAAACACATAGGACATGTGTGATAAGCTGCAGAGATGGGAGCTCTCTCGCTTTTTGCAGAGAAACTGCAGTATGAAAAAGGAAGTTGCTCTTTTTCTTGGTGACTCCAAGAATAGGTGGCTACTCAGCCACTTAAGTCCCCATTTGGGACTTAAAGCAGCCTTAGGAAAATAAAAGGTATTTTACAACCTCTATTGACCTAGCTTTCCAGTTACCAGAACAAAACCGAGTGGAGACTCATCCCCAAAACACCTTCCAAACTGAACAGTAGTCTGAATTCAGAGTACTGAGAACTTTCTTAGTAAACATTTAGAATACAACACTGATAATAAGTAAGATTGCTGACAAGCTCCTACTCTGGAAAACACATAATTAAGAAACCCATCTCAGGCAGGCCTTCAAACAACCAGTACTAAACAGTTAGCCCTTCCGATGCAGTTTGCAAAGTGCATTTCCTTGGCCGAAATGACTAAAAATGGCTAGGAAACACAACACGTTAGGATTCCCATTCCCTTATGAGCTGAAACTACACACAGATTCAGATTCTGATGTTTTGACATGATCAAAATTGTGCCTGGCTATCCCTGAAATACCTACTGATTTTCTCTCCTTCCCTCATGGAGAGCAGCCTCTGCAGTTCAGCTATTGCCAGAG